TTAAGGGACGTCATGACAAGCCTGGGAACTACAGACCTGTGAGTCTGACTTTGGTGATGGGTAAGTTGTTGGAGATGATTCTGAAAGATAGGATTTATATGCATTTGGAGAGGCAAGGTGTGATTAGGGATAATCAGCATAGTTTTGTGAGAGGGACATTATGTCTCAGAAACTTGATTGAGTTTTTTTTGAGGAAGTAACCAAGCAGGTTTGAGGGCAGAGCGGTAGACATTGTTTACTTGGATAACACCCTTCTTCAGAAGGGTCTCGACCCGAAACGTCAGCTTTCCTGCTCCTCTGATGCTGCTTGGCCTGCTGTGTTCATCCAGCTCTACACCGTGTTATCTCAGATTCTCCAGCATCGGCAGTTCCTACTATCTCTGTAACATTGTTTACTTGGACTTTAGTAAAGCCTTTGACAAGGTTCTGAATGGTATAGATCACATGGGGTTCAGGGTGAGTTCACCAGTTGGATACAAAATTGGCTTAACAGCAAGAGATAGAATGATGTCGAAGGGTTGTTTTTTGGACTGGAGGCCTGCGGCCAGCAATGTTTCAAAGGGATCGGTGTTGAGTCCACTTTTGCTAGTTATTTATATAAATGATTTATATAAGAATATTGAAGGCATGGGTAGTAAGTTTGCAGATGACACCAAAATTGATGATATAGGGGACAGTGAAGAAGGTTTTCTATGATTACAAAGAGATCTTGATCAATTGGGTCAATAGGCTGAGGAGCAGCAGATGGAGTTTAATTTGAATAAAGGTGATATATTGCATTTTGGTAAAACAAACAAGGGCAGGACTTATGCAATTAAAAGTTGGGCCTTGGGTAGTATTGTAGATCAGAGGGACCTAGTGGTCCAATTACATTATTCTTTGAAGTTTGCATCACACATAGGGGGTTGAGAAGATGTTTTAGGATGTTTGCCTTCATTACTCAGACCTTTGAGTTTACGAGTTGGGATATTAAGTTGAGGTTATACAGGATTATTGGTAAGGTCTGTTTTGGAGTACTGTGTCCAGTTCTGGTCACCCTGTTATAGGAAGGATATCATTAGGCTGGAAAGGGTTCTGAAGAAATTTACTATGATGTTGCCGGGAATGGAGGGTTTGAGTTATAAGGAGAGGTTGGATAGGCTGGGATTTTTTTAATTGGAGTGTAGGAGGTTGAGAGGTGACCTTATAGAGGTTTATGAAATCATAAGGGGTATAGATAAGGTAAATGGCAGATGTCTTTTCCCTAGGGTGGGGGATTTCAAGACAAGGAGGCATTTTTTTAAGGTGAAAGGAGAAAGATTTTAAAAAGACATGAGGGACAATTTTTTTTATACCAAGTGGTTTGTGTGTGGAATGAACTTCTAGGGGAAGTGGTGAACGAGGGTACAGTTACAATGTTTAAAAGTCATTTGGATAAGTACATGAATAAGAAATCTTTGGAGGGATTTGGGCCAAGTTCAAGCAGGTGGGACTAGTTTAGTTTGGGATTATGGTCAACATGGACTGGTTGGACCAAAGGGCCTGTTTCTATGCGGTATGATTCTATGTTTCAATGAGGCGACCTCCATTCTTCTAAATTCCATTAAGCAGAGTCCCAAATTGTTTAATCTTTGCTCATAAGACAATAATCTTACTGAATGGCAGAGCAGGCTTGAGGGACTGAATGTCTAATCCTGTTCTTATTTCTTATGGTCGTCACTATTAACAGTTCCAGACTGCAACATGCATATAAAAAGTGCATGTTGCCAGAGCAATTCAGACACTTAGTCAGTGTTATGTGAATTGCGTCAAATCTGGTCAGTAGATTTGGGGCTGCATGGTGGCTCATTGAGGTGGGGGGGCGGGGGGGAGCGCAGCACAGTGGCTCAGTGGTTAGCACTGTTGCCTCACAGCACCAGGGACCCAGGTTCAATTCCACCCTTGGGCGACTGTCTGTGTGGAGTTTGCATATTCTCCCTGTGTCTGCGTGGGTTTCCTCCAGGTGCTCCTGTTTCCTCTCAGTCCAAAGATGAGCAGGCTAGGTGGATAGGCCATGCCAAATTGCCTGTAGTGTTCAGGGATGTGTAGATTAGGTGGGTTATAGGGGATGGGTCTGGGTAGGATGCTCCAAGGGTCGGTGTGGACTTGTTGGGCTGAAGGGCCTGTTTCCACACTGTAGGGATTCTATGATTCTAGATGATTGACTGAACCAGCACTCAGCCACATTCTTTGAAATATGACTCCCTTGAGCTCAAGAGAACAGGGATAAGGGGCAAAGCAAGGAGTGGCCAGTGTGAGACAGACTGCCATGGTTTTGATGGGAGAAGGATATCAAAAGTGGCAATGAAGGCAGTTTAATAAATCAGTAGGTACTGAAATATTACTGGTGAATGGAGGTCTAGAAGCTAGAGAACTGAGATTTTGGAAGTGCAGTTGTTAGCAAATTACAGGATATGTTTTTTCAGGGTAAAATGTAGAAGTAGGTCAAGTTGGGGCTTAGAAAGTGTGTTGTTGGAGAATGATACCAAGGAATAATCAGTGATGGCTTTACCTGTGATTAAAACTATGGGGACTAGGAGGACCACGAGATGGTAAATTTAAACGGATGTTCAGGCCATCCTTAATAAGCCATCCTTACCCTGTCTGATTACAGTATGAAAGGAGAACTGTAGCGAATAAAAATTAGAACAGAAATGCTCTTGATAATTCAGTCAATTTAAGGAGGAGATAGATAGATTTTTTAATTAGTAATGTGTTAAAGGATTATGGGGAGGTGGCAGGAAAGTGGAGTTGAAGCCAAGATGAGATCAGCCTTTTTTTTGAAGTACTTTGTCAAACAGCCAATCAATTCAACATCATTGGTGTTATAATCCAAAAATTAACTACATTTAAACAGAATTCAAGTCCACACTTTTAGGTGAGAGCTTTATTTCAGTTACTCTCGATGAAATTCACACCCTACTGATTATTAGCTCCCTATATTTATACAACTAAGTCAAACCCAATTAACTCAATGAACATATCCATCATCTGCTCCCTCCTATGCTTCGTCTAACTTTTCAGACTGCTTCATGGACCTCCAAATTTCCATCAGTAATGTTAAGAGAATGCTAATTGCATAAAGTTTCAGGCATTTCTTCAGACAATATTGCATGATAACAGATTTATCTTTTTCTTTTTAGACAAATCAAACAATAATTAAAGTTCCAAGTTTTTTTTTTCCAGCATGTTCAACAGTTTCTTAGAACGTACTGCATTTTTTTTGTAAAACAGCTGACTACTGCTATCCACCCTTTTCAATTCGGAGATCTCCCTGTTCTCCACCATCAGTTTTAAAACTACAATATCAATCCTCAATCTTTTCTCATTCACACTTTTCATTGAGTGTATGATATGTCATAGTGACTTTCTAATCGATGTAGCACTCAGTAGGTTTTACTGTTGAAAACCTTTTTAAGATTTCTCCAAGTATTTTCACTAAGAATCGTGCCACCTCATCAAGAATGACAGTCTATGCCACTAAAGTATTTTTTTACCACTCTTCTCATCTTTTCAGCTTCTGAAGCTGAAGCACAATAGTGACGTCCCTTTCCCACAAGATAAAATATACGCTGTTCTGCACTTAAGAACCATCAGAGATTTGCATAAGAAGCATCATGTTCCTGGCATTTCCCAATGAGGGAAATTTCAAATCACAATGTTCCATTTTCAATGTTTTCAATAATTAGTTTGCCCAAATAATATCTTGCATCATGGGATTTTTCATATTGTGTTCATCTCTAATATTTCAAAACATGAATCTGGCCTTGTTTAGATGCTTTGCTAATTCAGCTGTCCTATTAGACTTCACAATACCTCCAATTCAGTTTTGAATCAGTTTGAGCGGCCCAACTTTGACTAATAACAATGAGGTTAACACCTTCCAAATAAGATTATTGATGCAAAAGTGCCACTTGATCCATTCTGCCTGATATTCAATCCAGCATGCTTAAAAGCATCAGAAGCCTAAATTCCAATTTTGACTTCTGGTTTAAGTCCATTTATGACAAGGTTTTCAAATTCACTGCTCCCACCACACGAAAAGTCTTTACATGCATCATAAAGATGCTTGAAAGCTGCTCTTTATGATACCAGAAAAAACATGGCAGTGTTTCCTATCAACTGAAAATAACTCAACTTTAAAATTGCAGACCTTGCTGAGAAATACCAAACGCTAGAAGCATCCTTTAAGTCATATACACATTTATTTAGCGTCCAGACTGTCCCCACTGCATTTGGTGCCTCTTTTGAGGGACAAAGATTTGCCTCTGTCGTAAGTTGATCTTGCAGAAACGCAGTTTTAATATCAATTGATCTAAACAGCCAAGCATTTGTTGCTAACAAAGCTAAATGAAAATTTACAGAATTGCTTTTCCTGCCATCAGTGATACCCCATTTTACCGTGATACCCCAGTTTTACTTCAAAATCTTGTGCCACTAGCCTTGCTTTAGCATTATAAGTCCCATCAGGAGACACCTTTTCAGTGCATATGCACTTATATGAAAAGGCTAGATGTTCCTATCAGGCACCTCCATGCACATCCCAAGTTCTACTCATCCATGTAGTTCTTGCTGTTTCGCATCTTTTATTAACTTCTAGTTTGTTCATGGCCACTAAGATGTCACCATCGTATTGGCTTCAGCTATAGGTGATATTCCTGCTGTTTGTCATATTTCTTGTCCTTTTTAAACCTACCCCTCCTATTAATAGGAATTTTTTTCAATAGTTTGTGATCACTTTGCAGGGGCATTATGGTTCAGGGACTGAGAGAATTTAGCCCCGAGGTTAGGATGGAAAAGCTGAGGTTATTCTCCTTGGAGCAAAGGAGATTGCACGGCAATTTAATAGAGGGAAAAAAGATTATGACAGGTTTGGATAAGGTAAACCAGGAAAATCTGTTCCCATTAGCTGGTATTGCCAGGACAAGGGATGTAGGACAATGGAGTGAGGAGTAATGAACTGAAACTGTTTCCTTTCCTCTTTACAGAAACTCGACGTAGCGAATCTTGAGCTTGAGAAGCAGCAGCTTCAGATTCTGGCTGCTCTTGATACACTGAAGGAAAAGCAAGAAAGGGTCTTGCAGGAACTGGACAAGCAGGTCAATGCTATGTCAGCACTTTACTCACTGCCTGTGTTTGTTCACTGAGAGTGTGTGGGATGACAAGAGTCACATGACCATGTAATCAACCCCCAGCAATTCTTGTTACATTTGACTCCAGCCTCAGTGAAACGCAATGTGCCCTCATTTCTCGATACAAGGGGACAATCATGACAAGACAATTTGAGAATTTGAACTTTGCTTTAAATAGCTGGGATCTGTACTGGTGACCATATTGATTATTGTAAAAAGGCCCATTGGTTCACTTCTATTGTTTAGGAAGGAGAACCTGCCATCCTTACCGAGACTAGGCCAAATTTAACTCTGGACCCACATTGTTGTGAGCAACGAAAATGGTATAGATACAACTGGGGTTGATCATAACAGGGGTCTTCTGGTTGGGATGATCTGCTGGCTAGAAATGGGAATCTCAGCAAACCGCACTGACCTTTTGCTTTATTGACTCATACTTTCTCCTGTCTATCTTCAGTTTCTCTCTTTTTAACCTTCTCTCTCAATCTCTTTTCTCACTAGTTCCTGTCTCTTTCTTCCTATTCTCCTATGACCTAGGTCACTGTCTGACTCTTTGCTGTCTCTCAGGATGTCTTCCCTCTCTCTCTCTCTCCATGCTTCTATCATTACCACATTTTCTCTCTCTATCTCTGTGATTCTCCTGTTCCAGCCCTCCTTCAGAATCCAACTTTGCCACGCTTTCACTAGACTTCCCATCTTTCTCTCTCATGCCCTCTCTTTAACCCTATCTTCCTATATTCAATCTCCTCTCTCATTTTGTCCTTTTTCCCTCCTTTCACTCCGACTCCATTCTTTTTCTGATTGTTTACTGCCATTTTAATTCCCTCTTTTCCTAAAAATTTGCTGCCTCTTTCACATTCTTTTTCTGAACTATCTCTTTTGCCGCCATATTTGTTTGCGACCCATTTTGATTTTTCACCTCCCTTTCCATTTTTCCTGTCACCTATGCTCTTTCACATTTTCCCCTGACATTTTTCATTCTGAACTCAACAAATCACAGCAAGGAATCTAAACACAAATCTGCTCAATTACTGGCTTCCATTTCAACATGTGACAGGTAGCACACTGACCACGCCGATCATGCAAACAATTCTGACCACATCAAACACACCGACTGTGCTAAATGCGCCAACTATGCAAACAATCTGACAGCATTGACCACACTGGCTACAGAAAAGGGACTGACAGTTTGAAATGCCCCAAACACAATGACTATAATGACCAACCTAAAAGCACCAATTGTGATAACTGTGCTGAATGCACCAAAAGCACTAACTGAACTGGCCACAGTAAGCACACTGCCCACGACAAATGCACTGTTAACACCAGAGGCATCAGCCAAACTAACAAACTCGTGTGTGTGACTCTCTCTTTCTCACACCCATACACTCTATCACATGTTCTTATGCAGAGAGTGATTAGGATCTGGAAAGTAATACCCGAGTGTGGTAGAGGCAGATTCAACGGAGATCGACAATTGGGAATTGGATCTTTATCTGAAAAGAAGAATGGCAATGCTTCTGGGAAAATGCAAGACTTCAGGTCTAACTCAGTTTTTCTTGCACAGTGCTGGCACAGACACCATACATCAAATGGTGTGATATTCTGTCATTGTGATTCTTTGATCTCTAGCCAATCTTTTATCTGTCGTTCTTTTCACTGTCTTGGTTATTTATCTCTCCTCTTTGTGTTCCTCCCATCTCTTATAGCATTCAAATATGCATTTTCTGTTTCTCTATCTGCTTTACTTTGACTTTCTCCTTTGCCTTTTTTTAATATCTCATCTTTTCTCATTTCTTTATTCATTCCCTTTTTCTCAGGTTTATTTCTCTCTTTATTTGACTATCACTCTCACTCTCTTTTGCATTTCCTTCATATATCTCATATATCTTCATATACATCTTCCTCTGACTCTATCATTTCTCCTTACTTTCTTTCCTTTTCAACGTTCTGTTCTGTCTCCTCCCTTGTTCTCTTTTTCTCACACCTTTCTTTTTTGTTTCACTCTGGTTTGTCTTGTTCACTTTATCCTTGTTCACTCTTGTCTCCTTTTTCCTTCTTTTTCATTGTTATCTCATCATGGCCTCTGCCTTTCCATTTTTTTTCTCCCTTGTCCCACTCAGGGTCTTTCTCAAGTGTTCATTCTCTGTGGTACATCTCTCTCTGTCATCCCTCGCTACATGATTCCTCTCTCTCTCTTTCTCTCGGTTCTCCCTGATCAGGAACTGTCTTGTTTTATTAGACTTCTGAGCATGCTATTATGGCAAGTGCATCTTCATTAGTGCCACCTGAATGGTTTGGGGAACCTGAACTTGAAACTGTGGAAGAGAAAGATGAATTAAATGTTGCAGTGGAGGTGAGTAACCTATTCAGCTTCATATTCTGAACTTAATTTAACCTCACTCAACTTCCCTTTCTGATCACGTGTTAACCTACCTTTACCCTTTTAAGACCAAAAATGCCAGGAAAAGGTCAAGAAGGTATTTGAGCTTACCTGTAGACAAGGAGACTTGTAAAGTCCTGAAGGGTAAAAGAAAAGCAATTAATGGTAGGATTGTTTCCTGGTTCTGGAAACATGGGGTAAGTGAACGGAGACTGGAAATGTTAGGGAGCAGTGGGTAGCAACTCTAGTGTGTTGAATGGTTGAGGACTGTGCCAGCCATAGCTTGAAAATACAAATGATTATTCAAGAGCATTGTCTCAGCTGGGTGGGATTGTTCTCACCTGGTTCCATTGTTATCTAACTAATTGTAGTCAGTGAATCACTTTGTAATAGCCCCGCTTCCTGCTTCTGCATCGTTGCCTCTGGTGACTCCCAAGGATCTTTCTTTCATAATCTCTCTTGACCACTGCTGTATCTCTAATTGGTCATGATGCTGGTCCAACGTCCAATACGAGATAAGCAACTAAACATTAAGAAGATTAAAAACTTCTTCAGTCCCAACTACAAACTCTTTTACATAACCAATGACTCCATCCCTCTTCCTAGCAACTGTCTGAGACTGAACCAGATTATTCACAATCTTGGTTTCCTGTCAAGCGTGGAGATGAGCTTCTCACCATGACCAAGATGGCTTGCTTCTACTTCTCTAAAACTATCTAGACCTCATTAAAACCACCACGCACAATCTTTGGTCACCTGTGAACACATGGACATACATATTAGGAACAGGAATAAGCCACTCAGTCTTTCAAGCCTGCTCTGTTGCTCAATAAGATTGTGACGGATCTGATAACTCTACAATCCTGCCTACCCCTGATAATCTTTCAACTCCTTGCTTAAGAATTTATCCACTACTGCCTTAAAAATATTCAGGAACTCTGCTTCCACCATCTTTCGAGGAAGAGAATTCCAAAGACTCACTGCCTTCTGAAAGAAAAATAAATCTCCTCATTTCTATCTTAAAAGGGCGACCACCAGTTCTAGATCCTCCCACAAGAGGAAACAAGCTATCTGCATCTACCCTGTCAAGACGACTCAGGATTTTGCAAGTGTCAATCAAGTCATTTCTTATCTAAACTTCAGTGGTTACAAACCCAGTGTGTCCAACCTTTTGTCATAAGACAATCTGTCCATTCCAGGTACTAGGCTGGTAAATCTCTGAACTGCTTCCAAAACATTTACATCCTTACTTTGGTAATATCTCCTTCCATGGTCAAATTTTATTTCCAATATTGGGCTGTTAAGTGGCAAGTAATATTTACACCATACCAAGTCCCAGGCAATAATCTAAATGATTCAAAGAGAATATTAACATTTGCCCTGTGACATTCAATTGATCTGAATCACCAGGGCACATCGGCTCTTACAATCAATCAGCTCCTACAAAATAGATTATGCCAAATCGTTTACCGTCTGGCATTGATGAACCTACAGGAGCAGCACTGTGCTACATCCTACATCAAGATAGGATGTATCTTAGTTTCACAAAGTCCCAAAAAATCTACAGACAAAATTCATAACTTCATCCTCTCCTGATCAATTGATTGATCCCCTCCTCAGTGACTGATATTTTCATCACTATTGACTCTCTGTGCACCGATCGATCCTCTCTTTACAGATTGATTGATTTTATCTTTGCTCAGTAATCGATCCTCTCTTTACTGATAAATCCACACTTTAATGATTGAGTGATCCTCTCCTCACTGATCGCCCTTCATGAATTGATCACTGTTCTCACTGTTCAATCTTCTCTTCACTGATCAATCGATCCTCTCCTTGCAGCGCAATCAATGCATTCCTTATGTTTGATCTTCTCCTTAATGATTTGTCATTTGTTTCCTTACTAGTCGATCCGCCCCTCATTGATTATCTCTTCACTGATTGGTCCATCCTCTCCTCTGATTGACCTTCTCTTCTCTGATTAACTGATTCTCTCCTTATTGATTGATCGATCAATCCTCTTGCCACCAATCGATCCCCTCCTCACTAGTTGGTCCACTCCTCACCGATTGATTCTGTCTTTACTGATCAATCATTGAGGAGAGGATCAATCCTCTCCTTAATTATTGATCATTCGTCTTCTCACTAATTAATCAATCCTGTCTCCACTGGCTGATCTTTTTTATAATTGGATTTTATAGAATCTCCACAGCATGGGAACAGGCCATTTTTACCGACAACCAACCCTCCGAAGAGCATTCCACCCAGACCTATCCCCTATCCTATCCACGTAACTGTGCATTCCCCATGGCTAACACACCTAACCTACATATCCCTGAACACTACGGGCAATTTAGCATGGCCAATCCACCTAACTTGCACATCATTGAACTGTGGAAGGAAACTGGAGCACTGGTAGACGTGGGGACAATGTGTAAACTCCACACAGACAGTTGCCTGAGGCTGGAATTGAACCAGGGTCCCTGACACTGTGAAGCAGCATGCTAACTACTGAGCCACAGTGCCACCCTGGTCGATCACCTCTTCACTGATCATCTCCACTGATTGATGAACACTCTCGTTACTGATTAATTGATCAACCCTCTTGTTACTGATCACTTGATCCTCTACTCACTAATCAATCCTCTTTACTGATCACCCGATCCACTCATCACTGTTCAATCAATCCTGTCTTCACTGTTCATCGATCCTTTCATCACTGATCAATTGATCCTCTCTTTACCAATCAATCAACTCTTGCTGATCAATTGATGCTCTCCTCACTGATCGATTCTCTCATCATTGATTTGGTACCTGATTTTCTCCCACTGCCCAATCCTCTCCCCATGAATCGATTGCTCCTCTCCTCTCTTCACTGATACCTGATCCTCTCCTCGCTGTTAAATTGATCATCTTTTCATTGCTAGCTTGATCATCATCTCACCTACTAATCTTCTGACTGAACAATTGATCCTCTCCTCACTGACTGAGCAATCATCTCCAAATTGATTGATCCTCCTCACTGATCTTCTCGTAATTGATCAATTAATCCTCTCTCCTACTCCTCTAACCTACTCCTTTTGAATGGTCATAAATTCATTCAGTTGCTATGTCCCTCCCTAACTTCTACCTTCCAATGTGGACTGGAGAAATTCCAGCAATCGCCATATTGTTCAACGCGATCAGAAGAAAATAACTGGCAGACAGCTGGGTCAGAAATAATAACAATGATGTACAGTTTGCTGATATTTCACAGGGCAATTACTTGGTGATATGATTTCTTCTAGGTTCAAAATGAGGATACATTGCCAACTGAGGAAGAATCCAAACATGCAGAAGAACCCATAGAAGAAGCTGAGGAGAAATCCTGAAAAATTAACTGGTCCAACTCAACTCTGACTTGGGACTAAACTGAGATGGGACTAAACTGTTCATCATCTGATTTACTATTAAATTTATACATTCTCATTCAGTTATGTGAGTTTCATTATTTGAGATGTTGATTCGGTGAATTTTCATAATTTTTGAAGACCTGACACTAGTGTTAGAATTTAATACTGAGTAAAGTGCCCTCGACACTGTCCCCATCAAACAGTCCCTGGACAGGGGCAGCACAGGGTTAGATACAGAGTAAAGCGCTCTCTACTCTTTTAAACTGAAAGTAAACTAAAAATAAAGCTGAGATAACAAGGTGTAGGGCTGGATGAACACAGCAGGCCAAGCAGCATCATAGGAGCAGGAAGGCTGACATTTCGGGCCTTCAGACCTTCTGCTCCTATGATGCTGCTTGGCCTGCTGTGTTCATCCAGCTCTACACCTCGTTATCTCAGATTTTCCAGCATCTACAGTTCCTACTGTCTCTAAAAATAAAGCTTCCTTGACACTGTCCCCATCCAATGCCCTCCAGAACAGGTAGAGCATAGGATTAAATAAAAAGTAAAGCTTTCCCCTAATCTTTTAAACTGGAATCCTTAAGCTGCTTCTACACTGTTCCCATCAAATAGTCCCAGGACAGGTACATCAGGAGTTTGGATAGAGAATATATCTCATTGGACCCTGTGTTATGACAGTAGATCATAATCCTGAATTACTTATGGACCTGCAAAGGTATTCTTTTGAGGACAGCTACTAGACACCCTTGCGCTGTAAAGGTAAAGAAAAATTCTCTCTCTGATTGTTAAAAGCAGGCCAGCCAGTGAAGTCACCATCAAAAATGAAACAGGAAAAAGACCTGTCAACTAATCTGTAGAGTCAAGAGTCTCAAAATCAACTACTTCACGACAAACAGCAGCATTTACCGCTATCTGTGTTCTATCAACCAACTTAATAGCCACAACGTTCTGCCATCCACTCTTCCCGGAACCCAGGATTGATGTATATATCCTTTTAACTTATCTCTTGACTCAATTCACATTTCTAATCTGTGTGTATGTATGTCATGTTTTATTATCATTTCTCACATTGAGTAGCTAATAACCTCATTCTTTGACTCAAGAAAGTCTGGTAAAATTAGCTCCTTTTAAACTATTAGGACGTTTTAATTGGGAAAAAATAAACACAAGGGAAGGCATCCATTTTAAATTGACCTTGCAGCAACAAACCAAGAGAGTGGTTTAATTTGGAGGTCTCCCACCTGGAATTGTAATAAATTTGGGACCTTTGCTCAGGAAACAGTCATAACAATTGCCCATCAAGCACTCCTAGGACAGGTACAATATGGGGTTACATATAGACAGAAAAACTCCCTCTAAACTGTCCCCATTTAACACTCCCAGGACAGATACAGTGTAAGGTTAGATACAGAGTAAAGCTCCCTTGACTTTGTCCCCAGTAAACAATCACAGGGCATGTACGACCTTCATTTGACATTGAATAAAGCTTCCTCTTAACTAATATAAAAATATAAGCAATTGGGGCTGGAGTAGACTAAACTGTCCTTGATCCTGGTCCTCCATTCAATATATTCATCCCTCAACTACATATTCCGAGCCACTCCTCTGATTCCCTGAGAGACCAAAAAATTTGTCAATCTCAGCCTTAAATAGACTCAACATTGCAGCATTCACAACTATCTAGGGTGGAAATTTCCAAAGATTCAAAATCCTCAGTGAAGAAAGTTCTTCCCATCCCAGTCCTAAATGATGGATGCCTTTTCCTGAGACTGTGTTCCCATCTTCCAGACTCCCCAGGCAGGGTGAAAACAACCTCAAGGGCAGGGACGACTCAGACAAGGTGCAGAGTTTTTTTATTCATTCACAGGATGAGGGCGTCGCTGGCTAGGCCAGCATTTATTGCCCATCCCTAATTGCCTAGAGGGCAGTTAAGAGTGACCACATTGCTGTTTGTCTGGAGTCACGTGTAGGCCAGACCAGGTAAGGAAGGCAGTTTCCTTCCTTAAAGGTCGTTAGTGAACTAGATGGGTTTTTCCGACAATCGACAATGGATTCACGGTCATCATTGGATTCTTAATTCCAGATATTTGTTGAATTCAGATTCCACCTTCTGCCATGGCAGGATTCGAATCCGGGCCCCCAAACGTTATCTGGCTCTCCGGATTAACAGTTCAGCAATAATACTACCAGGCCGTTACCTTCCCAATAAAGTTCTCCAAACCAATAAATCAAGCATTTCCAAAATGGGTACATCAATACCAAAATAAAACTCTTTTGACAATATCTCATCAGACAGTGACAGGAATTGGTCCAGTATGGGTTAGATGCATACTAAACCTCTGCATTCCAGAAACTGGTGAGTGATGGAACTGGAGTCTATCTTTCTCCAATTATATATTTATTTAGAGTTGTGCCTTTCGAGTATGGTAATTCAATGGTAAAGATGTTAATCTTTATTTATAGCAGTTCAAATGAATTGATTTTTTTCAGATCAACGTATTCAGAGATGTTATGACACCACTTGTTGAGAAGGTGGGACTTGAACCCAGACCCAGGTAGGGATACTACCACAGTGCTATAAAAGCCATCAAGCTCAAGAGATTTTTTTTATTTTCTGGAAGGTGCTATTACATACTACTGAACATTTTTTTTCCCCACCACCAAATCAACAGTATTAATTTTGTAATCACAGAATCCCTACTGTGTGGGAGTGGGCCATTTGGCCCATTGAGTCCACACCAACCCTCTGAATAGCCTCCCAGCCAGACCAATGCTATCCTTGTAACCCTGCATTTCCCATGGCTAATCCACCTAACCTGCACAGCTTTGGATTGTGAGAGGAAACTGGTGCACCCGGAGGAAACCCATGCAGACATGGGGAGAATGTGCAAACTCCACATAGACTGTCACCGGAGGCTGGAATTGAACCCAGGTCCTTGTTGCTGTGAGGCAGCAGTGCTAACCACTGAGCCATGTGCCACCTCTTTTCTCCTTCATCCTCAACAACTAAATCACCTGTGTTTCTGAAGTAATTACCAATGGAAAGTAAGCTTGTTTTTTTAACATCCGGAAGTGTTATCACATACAACTGACTGGCTTTTCTTCCCACCATCAAATCACGCATGGTATTTTTCATCTATTCACCACCGCCAGTGAATTACCTATGTTTTCCAGCTCAAGTGAATCTTTTTTCTATTTTCTAATCAGCCTGTTCAGAGATGGCAGCACTCACCGCTGGAGCAGGTGGGACTTGAATCCAGGTCTCCTAGCTCAGAGGCAGGGATACTACCAGCGCACCCCAAGAGCCCTCCAACTTGTGAATTTTTTTCTTATTTGTATAGTCTAGTTCAAGTGAGTCCCTGTCCCAGATTGATGATCACCATCTGCACACAATTTGTATACAATTAATAGATTAAGAGGTCTCTTGCAGTGGTAGCATCCTTACCTGTGTTGTGAAGTTGGGTAGAGTATTTATGGATTGGGAGGCAGGACTTTGGAATTTGGTGTTTGAAAATATTGGTGTTTGTATAATGTTGGGGGAGGGGGGAGCATTCAGTGGTCCCTTTAAAAGATTGTGCTTTTTCTGTGCTTGGAGATGTCTGTGAGCAGCTTGAAAATTTGCATCAACAGAGAGCATCTGAATTGAAACATTTGTATCAAAAGGCCATATCATTAACAGGCCAAGCAGCATTTTTACGAAGACAACAGGTTTTTGAATTTAGCCAATCAATTTGAACCAGGTACTTAGATACCAAAAACCTATCGAATTTGAATCTGATTGTTTTGACAACCTAGGACCAATCTGATTGTCAGAAATTGACATGTCATCAGGGGTATCAAAGAAGGGGGGCTATTGGAAAATTGGTAGAGTTAACTGTCATTTTCTAGAGATAACAGCTCTCAACTCTTAGAGAAAGGACTATCTATCACAACTGTACTATGGGACTCTTAACTAAGATTCCTGACAGAAGGATTGACAGAGAAAGCATTCTTGACAGAAGAATCAACGGAGAAGACACAGAACATTCCAGAAGACGTAACCTGGCTGTAATTTTGAAAGATTAAATTCTATTGTTCTGTTATTTAAGTGGGACTTGTATTTATTGGAACATCATACCATTAGAATCTTGCATTATTCGGGAATTGTTAGTAGTTAGAAGGGATTTGTTCGCTTTGTTAATAGTTTAGTTAATTTGTTCACTGTTAGAGTTAGATAAATAAATTGTTATTTGTTGATTGTAAAGTGAGTGTCAGGCATTTATTTGATTTAACCACTACAAGTTGCTGAAAGACAGGTTACACCCCTTTTCAGAGACAGCATGAACTGCAGATACTGGAGTCAGAGACAATGCAGTATGGAGCTGGAGGAAACAGCAGGCCATGCAGCATCAGAGGAGCAGGAAAGTTGATGTTTCGGGTCAAGACCCTTCTTCTGAAGAAGGGTCCCAACCCAAAACGTCAACTTTCCTGCTCCTCTGATGCTGCCTGGCCTGCTGTGTTCCTCCAGCTCCATACTGTGTTGTCTCTTATACCCCTTTTCACACTCCTTTTAACAGATTATAGGACGAGGTGCTCCTCTTTGAGTGTTTTAGTTTTGGTTCTCAGAGGAGGGGGGTCAACTTCCGCTTTGTAACACCCATAAGCCAAGACACCTGAGTTTGTCCCACCTACTCAAGACTTCTCTCAACAGGTTGATATAAAACTATAAGTAAGATTCCTTCCTCCCCCATTAAATAAAAAAAAGTTCATATGTACAGCCAAAATGTTCAAATATATTAAATGCAAAACTTTCATTTTCTGAACAAAATATTACATCACAAGATGCCTCTACTCTAGAAGCCTTCTTCATTCATGCACTTACTTTTGTAAAACAGGCAATTGATGACTTACATGCATTCATTTAATTTTAGAGATTTCCTTTCTTTCCAGCATTTGTTGTCAGGCCAGCAAGGTCAATCTGTAGCCTGTCTCGTCTACAGTTTTTGTAAAGTGTACATCATCAAACAAAGAACTATCATCTACATAGTATTCAATGGGTGTACTATCTTCAGTATGTCCACTGTACAGAATCTCACTTAAA